TGGGTGGGCCGAGGGCGATTAGTTCACTTACAAGAATATGTGGTGGAGTGCGTTGTGTTTATCGCATTGTAAATAACTGTGGGTGGGGTTCTCTACCCCTTTCTTCTATTAATATATGATACGCACACTAGTGCGTATTCGAGATGAGTCTATTAAACACCTTTTGAGTGTAAGTTTGCTCGTATAGTGTGGGCCATAGTTCAAGGAGATTCAAATCTTTACCCCCACATAGTGCTCGTAATATGTTTGGTAATTGGTTGTGGGGTATCAACAAACAATTTTCTGCGTATATTTTTGTTGGGGCGGCTGCCTTATGTTGGGCATTGTGACTTATCAGGATTTGTGGTTTCTAATAATAAATGTGTTTCATCTCCTATAGGGGTTATTCATGCATGTATGGGATGGCTCCGTACTTGGTATATCCTGCAGAGGCAGGAGGGCAAATACCTTTTTATGATGGCCAGGGAGGTTTTCTCTCTTCATGGATGGCGGTGTAATTTCCAGATAGGATCTACCCCCATCTTAGGCTGGACTTTTTATTATTGCTGTAAAACCATATTTTATTGTTGGTTGTGTTGGATGTTCATCATGCTATGCAGAGGCCGGACATTTTTTAATATGACTGTATCATCTCGATATATCAATTGAATAAAATGTCCTTTATCGAAAAAGAAATCCTATGAGAAATAATACAAATAAATCCTTGAGAAAAATTTCTATATTATTCATATTCAATCATACGAAGCAAACAACCAACATAGAAAATATTCCTAAGGACTCTAATCCTCGAAAATTCCTATGAGAATCCTTTAAATCAAAGGAGCGCGAGGAGGAACAATGGTTTCGGTGGTGTCCTGTTTTTTATGTGCTTCGGGCTTCAGAGTGTCCTGATAGAGCTTCGTTCGAGGTGGTGCTAATAACAGTTCCGACAACATAATATTTGTCTTTTCAATTTTTTCCTAAGTGATTTTTCTCGTAAAAAGGTAATTAAGCATGTCAATAGGTTATACTTTAACTGCTAGGTTTTAGTGCAAATACATGCCAACCTTGAGTTTTTTAAACTGATACCAAATCGCTCTAGAAGCTTCAAAAAATACGGCGATGACATGCAATATTAAGGGAATGATGTATATCCAAGCAGGAGAAATAAACATTATGTCCTCCATGCCGGATGGTTTTGTTCATGGAACTTTAGATGTGCACTTGTCGTCTTTTCTATCACGTATGCCTGTGACTTGAAAAAAAAACATGTATCTGCCTTCTACAGAATTTGCGAATCTCCCAAAACCTATGTGGATAGTTTTATATTTATTTTTAAACTTATATTTACATAGGGTCATGCTTTTTTGCGCAGGGTGTAAAGAGAAGTCACACTACAGCCGTACAGCCCCACCCTTCTCCTATTTTGCCGTCATGTAAATCTCATCTTATGCCAAAAGGTCAAGAAGAATATAAGAAAATGTATAATCCTATTGATTGCATCCATTTTGATTTGGTTCCTCTATCTACATTGACATATAATTATATCCGCAAAAGAAAGATGACATATAATTCATTAAAAATTGTTGAAACCCATGCAAGTTTTGTGGATTTAAGTGAACAATATTGTGCCTTGCACTAAGAAATTTGCATGAACTCCAAGCGACCCTCTATAGTAATTTTAGCAGTACTTATCACCGTCAATTATCAAGTGTGCCTATACGGTACGACCGCTCTTGTTCAAAAGGATGAGACACATCTGACAACCAATATCAATGTATTCAAATGCCTAGCAAAGCAAGAGTATTACAAAATACTTCATGTGTTATTAATGTATGCACGGCTATGAAGGCCTCCTTTTGCAGAATCGAAGACATCATAATCTGGTCCAACATTATGCACAACAATAATTCGTAGGATATTTCAACATGCCACATCACGTCTACACAAAGGAACACATAGCGACTATATTGTACTCCCTCCATTTCATAATATAAGAACATTTTTGAAGCTGTATGTTAGAATAAATCCAAGATATATTATTGATCATCCGAGGACCAAGCAATCACACGAGCACGACACCGAGATTTGTTAACGAGGTTCACCGATATGACTACATCCCCGGGGCGTGACTACGGGCGCTCCTCCCCATGACACCATCACAATACCGCACCCCGGCCGCCCGGGCGCCGGCACACGCCGCCGACTCCCCCGCGTGCCCGTGCTATTATGTTGGCATAGGTTACATCGTGTGTCTACCCACGATATATATGAGAGGCCTAGGATACAAGTGTCCTATTAGGACACAACTCCTACCATGTCTACACATAGTCCAAACCAAGTCCAACTGTAACCTACCTTGTACAATAATATTCGACACAACTCTAATAAACTCCATCTTGGCGAATATTCTCCATCACCTTGAATTCGTCCGTGCGTCGAACCTCCATGTACATTAGACTTGAGATACGCCATGAGCACCGCTGCTACTCCCAGACTCCATGTGACTCCACTTGCAATTGTAGTCCCTTCTCGTCTTCTTAGCAGTCAACGCTCGAGCAAACTTAAGTTCCTCGTTACTCTACCTTGTGCTCCCAACTTTCGGAGTATCCGTCCAACACCATCACACACCGATCACTGTTTGCGTGAAAGTGAACAACTCACATATTGGATGCCACATATAAGAGTTACCCGAACTCAATGTCATCACTCTCCTTAACTGTATGTCTGAAACTTGAAAGAATTTCACCGTCACCCTGTGTCATCCTGAGTCAAATTCGCAGTTGTCTCATCCTTTTTTTCTGGATAGTCTCTGGCATGTCCCATAGCTATAGCACTCCGCCTCGTTCTGTACTTGTCATCCGCACTTTGCCATGTGCACCGAACACCACAGAATATACGGCCATGTACTCTCTCAGCTTTTGACAATTTCAGACTCTCTGTCACTTTCTCAGATTCTCCATGGTCAACTCCTGTCCATCTTCCGGCACCGATAGACCTAGTCACCAACTTGAATCCGGTACTCGTCAACACTGCTTCAGCACCCCCTGCACACTTTGTCTGACCACATGTCTCACCATTAGTGCATTGGCCTGTCGTTGTGTCCCCGTGCTTACCGCACGCCTCGCCGCTATCACCGCGTCGAGCCTCTGCTGTTCTGGTCGAGTCTCCCGGGTAGCTAGCCCCCACTATCTCAACTCCCACTGCAGAGAACCATCGATCATCACCGACCGATGCCGAGTATCACGCCTCCATCAGACTACTGGTACCCAGTCCGATCCACGTGTCTCTCGCTATCCCGCTGAAATAGGCTTCGACTCTCCGAATTCTTACGCCGTAGCCCCTCAACAGCACAGAGTGAAGTCATCTGTCTGACTCCAGCTCCACCTTCAACGTGACTCCATGGTGGTTGTACGTACCACCCTCCCGCGCCCTGTCGACTCCAAGCTCTCATGTGCACCGTCTTGAATCAACCTTGCGACATAGTCTGTCGAAGCCGCACAAGCCCTCAAACTTGCACCACGTGTTTCCACGCCCCAAAAGCCGGCCACCATCAGCATCACGCTCCTGTGTCGTCGTCGCTGAAATCACCGTCGTCTTCTGCTTTGACCGACATTCCCGTCGATCCATCAGACTGTTCAGTCCAACCCAGCCGAAATTATCTGACTGCAATCATGCTTCACCCTGCGTCGTGTCCGCCTGCACATCTTCATGCCTTGCTTAACGCCCTGTGTATGCGTGATCCTGCCACGACGAACTCCAGACTCCTCCGAGCCTTATACGCACGTCGCCATCCTCGCCACATACTCTTTGAACCCTCTGAACAATCTTAACGGAAAAACTTCCATGCAAAATATCTATTCCTTGCACCATAATTTTTCATATCCATTGCCCAGTACTTGTATGTGTACTCTAGCAGCAAGACAAATTGTTTCATCTCTCAACTGCCCCTGTACGCAATCAAGTTCCGTATGCATGTGTCGACAGGCACTAAAACCTTCTTTTTTTTAACCACAAATCTCATGTCGACAGGCACTAAAGCCTTCTTTTTTTTAACCACAAATCTCACGAACCAGCCTCGCCACGATGCACCCTCGACCTGCAACTTGCACGCCAGCCTCTACCCAACTCGCACATGCATACGGGCCTCTCGCGCAGCAACCCACATGGCTTCGCCTAGGCCTGTTGCCGGGCTGCAACGAGCCTAGCTCCTCCACGACTGGGCCACCTTGGACGCCACCTAGGCCACGCGCCTGGCTCTGACTTGCCGTTCGCTCGACCCTACACGACGCTTGCGTCAGCCCCTGTCGTCTGCCTGCGAGCCTACGCCAGCCCCCGCATCGCGTTATGCGACCGATTGGCCGAAACCAATCTGACGATCACCAAAGTCGCCGATAACCTGCTGCCTTTCGCTGATTCTGTCTGCTTTCTGATTGCTCTCCGTCACGACAATCTCTGATCGTTGCCCGACGTCTCGCACGCACGTCGTGCTCATCTACAACCGGTCTTCATCGTGCTCTCCTCTAGATCAACAACCAGCACTCTTCTCGAACCTTGCTCATGATACCACTTGTTAGAATAAATCTGAGGCATACCGTTGATTATCCGAGGACCAAGCAATCACACGAGCACGACACCGAGATTTGTTAACGAGATTCACCGATATGGCTACATCCCCGGGGCCTAACTACATGCGCTCCTCCCCGTGACACCGTCGCAATACCGCACCCCGGCCGCCCAGGCGCCGGCACACGCCGCCAGCTCCCCCGCGTGCCTGTGCTATTATGTTGGCATATGTTACATCGTGTGTCTACCCCCGATATATATGAGAGGCATAGGATACAAGTGTCCTATTAGGACACAACTCCTACCCTGTCTACACATAGTCTAAAACCAAGTCCAACTGTAACCTACCTCGTACAATAATATTCGACACAACTCTAACACTGTAAAATTTATATCAAATATATTTATCTAAATCAAGCAGCACATCTTTGAAGAGACCAAACATAACCAAATCCATGGCTTCGGTCAATGCCAGAGAAAGGAAAGGAAACAAAAGAGGAGACGGGAAGAGGAGGCAACGGTGGCCAAAGAGGAAAGGAGACCGCAAGGAAGAAATTGCGAATCTCCCAAAATCTATGTTGACAAAACATGTATGTCTCTTTTATAGAATTCACGAATCTTCCAAAACCTATGTGGACAATTTTATTTATTTTAAACTTATATTTACACCCCTGTTCAAGAATTCATCCGATTAATCAATTAACTTGTCGATTAATCCCTACTCATAGAGTCATCGAGTAGCCGATAAACCAAAAATTCGTTCGATTAGGAGGCGTTTGGTTCAATGGCGAGGCGGATCGGCTGAGGGTATCGTTGCCCACCTGGTTGGGGATAGCCTACTTTTATTGTTTGGTTGAGAGGATAAATAGTGGTTGGGGATAGCCAGCTTTATGTTTGGTTGCAAGGATAACAAGCGGATGGATTGTTGTGATTACCTTTGAGGCAGAATACCTAAAATATATACAAGAAATGAAAAGAAATTGGGATTGAATACAAGGCCGTGCAAAGACATATGCGGCTGTGTTAAGCATAAAACCATACAAGTAGGCTGATTAGACTTGTTCATACATTGAGACATGCATATATGCCACTACCCCATAAATTAGCATATTTGTCTCGTTGTCCATCTATAGTACAAATCCACCAGAACATTCCTTCCTGCCTTCGCCAAGGTATTAGCAGCATGGAAGCTAGCTTCCTGAGTGACCGTGCTGCCTATCCTTTTCTAGTCGCCGGTTCATTTGTCGTTTGCCGTCATGGTGCTAATACCCGGGTCCAGGTGAGATCGAGCGGACTGTTTTACCTGAAGCGGGGCTGGCTGCCATCATCCGCCATATTTTCACGGACAAGGCCAACCAGCTTTTGACACGAATATTCGGGAATCATGGTTGCCCTCAGCCAACTCTATCCTGCTAGCCAAACGTGTGGTATCGTTGCCAAAACTGGCTATCCCTCATCCAACCAGGGATACCAGCCAACCAAACGTCACCTTAATTGATTAAATGGTCGATTAACTTGTCGATTAGCCAATTAATCCCCGGCTCGCTAGCCAACCGAGCAGCTACCAGTTAACGATATCCTCAACAATGATTTACACAGGGTCGCTGTTTGGCACATGGTGTGAAGAAAAGTCACACTACAACGATACAACCCCACCCTCCTCCTTTTCTGCCGTCATGTAAATCTCATCTTACGCCAATGGTCAAGGAGAATATAAGAAAATGTATAATCCTGGTGACCGCATCCATTTTGATTTGGTTCCTATATCTACGTTGACATATAATTCTATTCGAAAAAAATGATGACATATAATAATTCATTAAAAATTGTTGAAACTGATGCAAGTTTTGTGAATTTAAGTGAACAACATTGTGCCTTGTAGCGGACGACGGCCAAAGAGAAGAAAGGAAGAAATTGTTGATTGCCGCCGTCAATAGTCATTTTAGCGGTACTTACCGCCGTCAATTATTAAGTGTGCCTATGATGGCCGGTACGACCGCTCTTGTTCAAGCGGACGGCGCATCTAACAACCAATATCAATGTATTCAAATGCCTACCAAAGCAAAATTATTATTACAAAATACTTCATGTATTATTAATATATCCACGGCTATAAAGACCTCCTTTTATACAAAACCGAAGACATCGCAATCTGGTCCAACATTATGCGCAACAATAATTCGTAGGATATATCAGCATGCCATCATCATGTCCACAGAAAGGAACACACAGCGACTATATTGTAATTGTAATCTACTCCTATATCAGATGGATTTATCTGAACCACTATGTAGCAGCAGCAGCAGCAGCAAAACCAAACCCATGGCTTTGGTCAATTGCAGAGAAAGAAGAGGAAAGGAAACAAAAGAGGAGGAGACGGGAAAAGGAGGCGACGGCGGCCAAAGAGGAAAGGAAGAAATTGTTGATTGCCCACCCCCTCCCCTCCTATTAAATCGGCGCAACACGCAACACAAGAGAGAGAGAGAGAGAGAGGGGCACACGCCGAGAGTCCACACGCAATCCCATCATCCCCTCCATCCATTCCCGCTTTTACCCCCCTGTACTTGCCGCATTTCACAGGCCAGGACGGACTGCTGGAGCTGGACCAGGGGAGTCCCACGGGCTACGGCGCCGAATTATTGCCCGTTTCGAGGCCTCGAGCGCCAAAAGGGCCGTGCTGCTGCTACGCCCACGCGCAGCCGCCGTGCTAACGCGTGCGCTCCGCTCCGCTCTGCTCCCCCCTGCGCCTCGCCGCGTCGGGGCAGGGGGTGGGGTGTGGCTGTGGGGACGCGGCAGCGGCTCTCTTGAGCGATGAGGCCGCCGGAAGCGGCGCTCGCCGCGGCCCTGGTGGCGGTGGCGGTGGCGGCGCTGCTGGGCGGGGCGGCGGCGGCGTTCCCGGCGGCGCTGACGCTGGAGCGCGCGCTGCCGCACAGGGGGGTGCCCGCGGAGCACCTGAGGGAGCGGGACAGGGCAAGGCACAAAGGGAGGGGGCTGCTCGGGGGCGGGCCCGCGGTCGCCGGCGTCGTCGACTTCCCCGTCGAAGGCTCCGCCAACCCCTACATGGTCGGGTGGGTGAGCCGCTTCGCTTTTTCTTCCTTTTTGTTTTCCTCCCGTGCCTGCTTTGGTTTGGTTTCGTCTGGCTTGGTTCGGGTCGGTTCGGGTCGGTTGGCTGGTTGTGTGTGATCGATGGGGGCGTTGAGAATTCGAGCCTGTTTTGGTTACGGGCGTTGAGCTGGAATTGTTTCCTTTGCTTGGTGGACTGGACGATTGTGGCGAAGCAAATTTCTTTTGGGTAATTGACAGTTACATTCCTTCTGTTTACTCAGCTCTAGTCATAACCATTGAAATACTAATTGATACTAGTAGTTTGATGGCTGTACTCAGTGAGTTTGTTTGCTGGTGGATATTGCGCGCATTCTGCAAACTTTACAGTTAATTTTTACAAACTTCCAGCGATGTTTGCTCAGGAGCACATGCCGTTTGGTAGCTGAATTGCTGCTTGGAATAACCCAGGCTTGTTTTTCTTTTTCTTTCTTATTATTAGGTTCGTTTGATTCATCGTTTTATATTCTGAAAATATCACCAAGTCTTTGCGCACTTCATCGTTCTACCTGTTTGATTGTGGGAGTCCAATTCTGATGCGTTTGCCTGTACCAATCACCACAATAATTCATTGCCTGTAGGTTGGGAGAAAAACAGCTCATTTTCCTATGCTTTGCTTCTCGTGGATCCTACGTCTCCACACATTTTTCTGCCCATCACAGTTTCTTTAATTTTCTTAGCTTGCTTTTGCTTCAAGGTCAATTCCTGCCGTTGAAGATGCAGTTTTGGATTTCTCCCTCTCTGATGTACCTTATGTTTGCACATTAATTTTGTTATAGTCCGTAAGGTGTAGCCGTGCAGAGATACACATTTCGTTACACGGTTTAGCGCCAGTACATGCAGAGGCTTTACTAGCACCAAGCGTAAGGTGTAGCCGTGCAGAGATATACATTTCGTTACACGGTTTAGCACCAGTACATGCAGAGGCTTTACTAGCACCAAGCGTAAGGTGTAGCCGCGCAGAGATATACATTTCGTTACACGGTTTAGAGCCAGTACATGCAGAGGCTTTACTAGCACCAAGCACTAGATAATGGATGGATTGGCACCCGTTTTTACTTGCCATGTGCCAGTCTTAAGTGAAACAATTCTGTTTTGCCAATGCTGTAGGATTTATGTTTTAGTTGCATATAGACCCTTGTCGCATATCAGTTGTGATTGATAATACTCCCTTTAGACTCTTGAATATCATGTGTTTAATCCATCACCCTTATGTAGTAATATTCTGTTTTTGGATGCAGAAATCAGCTATGCACTCTGTTTCTTTTGGCCGATTCTCAAATTGGTTAGGATGCAAAAGTCAGTTTGTTGCTTAATTTTACTACTGATTTGTGATTAATTAACCTCCTTTTAGGCATTATCATCTCATCAACTCATTCATTTTCATTCTGCGACTGGGCTTGCTGTTAGTTGGTAGTACAAGGGCTTCATGTCAACCTATAGCGTAATAGGCACACTCTTTTGTAAGTATTGTATGCTAAAGTTCTATTTTACAGGCTCTATTTTACACGTGTAAAATTGGGAAACCCTGCGAAGGAATACTTTGTCCAAATTGACACTGGCAGTGATATCTTGTGGGTTGCTTGCAGCCCTTGCACAGGTTGCCCAACATCAAGTGGGCTCAATGTGAGTCAATCATTATCCAATGTCTTATGTTTTTTGGAATATTTTTCTCCCTTGAGATGGGATTACTTGTTATCTAAGCTTCTTCTGATGGATTACTGATTTTTGGTGTGCTTTTCAGATCCAATTGGAATTCTTCAACCCTGATTCTTCGTCAACATCATCCAGGATACCATGCTCAGATGATCGGTGTACAGCTGCCCTCCAGACAGGGGAAGCACTCTGCCAACCCTCGGACTCCCCAAGCAGCCCATGCGGTTACACTTTCACGTATGGCGATGGAAGTGGCACGTCAGGATACTATGTGTCTGACACTATGTATTTCGACACTGTCATGGGGAATGAGCAGACTGCCAATTCTTCTGCTTCCGTCGTTTTTGGGTACAATTCCCTAGACTCCTATACCTTTTTGAATCCCCTATTAGATAATGAAAACTTACCATTTATAATTGATGATCATTTACTTAAGATACGTGATAACATTAGAAACATGGCTAGAGTTGTGCAACAACTGTGTCAGGTAAGAGCGTTGACATGATGTGGGCTCTTGTCTCCTTGATAATGTGAACCATCTGTTAACTTTGTTGATCTGGTTAGCTAAGGCCAGGCCTCGTGCGGTGGTGAAGTACTCTCCACTTGTGCCAAGAGGTCCTGGGTTCGATGCGGCCTCTCTGCATTGCACTGTGCAGGGGTAAGCTTGCCTCGTATAATCCTTCCCCAGACTCACCTGGTGTGGGAGCTTCTAGCACTGGGTCTGTCCTTTTCCTTGATCTAGTTAGCACGGTTGATGGATCTAATGACAACAAAATGCATGTGTCCTGCAACTAGCAGGATTCTAGTACCTACTGCAGGAATAGTTCTTTTCGTTGCTCTGATATCCAGAGAACAGTTATTACTAGGAAAAAAGTCAATTTCCATTATGGTCACCATGAATAAATGTTAAAATGGTTATACTGTCTTCATCGGGACAAAATATGTTGGCATATCACTAGTACCTGGACATCCTTTAATGTCGATTGATTAAAAGGCTATCCTCTAACATGTATCTAAACACGCCAAAGTCTCAGCCTCGGAATGGTTTTTCACTTTTTCTTAGTGATACGAGTTTACATTTTTGTGCTGATCTTAGTTTGATTAAACCGTGCGTTGCTATAAAGTAACTGTTTACGGTTACCATTTTGTGCAGTCGTCACCTTGATATTAAAACTTGCTGCCTAACAGGGTCAATAATATTTTCGTTGTTGTAACTATCTTTTTTTTAATAGATGTAGCAACTCACAGTCAGGTGACCTGATGAAGACAGATAGGGCAGTTGATGGAATTTTTGGGTTTGGACAGCATGAGCTGTCTGTCATTTCACAACTGTACTCTCTTGGTGTATCCCCTAAAACATTCTCCCATTGCCTGAAAGGTTCAGATAATGGTGGTGGTATTCTTGTCCTTGGTGAAATCGTCGAACCAGGATTAGTATTTACTCCACTTGTTCCATCACAGTAAGTTCCTTTTCCTGAAATTATTGAGTGTGTAACTTCGGAATTCTGCATGTTCCCTTTTGTTTCAGTAGTTACCCGTGTTGTTGTAACTGGTAGGCATGGGTGGAGAGCAACAGTTTCCATCATTCGTTTTCTAGTTTTTGTTTTCTTTTGTAAGTACTTGTTAGGTGAATTTATTTGGACATCTTTAATTTTCCAACATTAAGTATGCCCCTGTGAGAGGCTAACTATATAGGTAGATTTTTTTTCTTGTGAAGTATAACATTTCTAGTGGCAATAAATCATGAAACATTTTGATTCTAAGCTATTTTTGTATTTTTAATGAAATGTAGGCCTCATTATAACTTGATTCTGGAAAGCATTGCTGTTAGTGGTCAAAAGCTACCCATTGATACTTCCTTGTTTGCAACATCAAATACACAAGGAACAATTGTGGATTCAGGAACGACATTAGTATACCTTGTCGATGGTGCCTATGATCCATTTATTAGCGCGGTAAACTCCAAATTACACATTTCATCATTTATTTTATGGAACAACAAATATGTGACTAGTTTGCAGTACTTAAATATACCATCATTAGTTCTAATGATGGATGCCTGCAGATAGCTGCTGCAGTCTCTCCATCTGTACGCTCTGTTGTCAGCAAGGGGACACAATGTTTTATTACAAGCGGCAGGTTTTCTTCTTTCTCTTTCTAAGAAGAAAATTAGCAGCACATGTCATTCAGAATGTTGAATTACTCACAAATGTTCTTTTGCTTCTCTACTAGTGTTGATTCGTCATTTCCTACGGCAACACTGTATTTTAAAGGTGGCGCTGCAATGACAGTGAAGCCAGAGAACTATCTTCTGCAGCAGGGTACCAGTGTATGTAAAGTTGTCAACAAGCCTTTTGATGCCATCATTGCTAAATTTCTTTGCAATTGTGTGTCTAGATAACTGTTTATGGGCAGACTTGCCTCAGATGAAATAATGTCATATTATGCTTTGTAGGACAATACTGTATTGTGGTGCATTGGCTGGCAAAGAAGCCAGGGAATCACTATACTTGGAGGTTAGTCATGTTGACTGTATTAGCCATTATAAGTTGCGCATATAGCTGTTATACTTTAAGGCAGCTATTCTGTTATGGAGACCCGAATTAAGTTAAGTTGTTGACATAAATTTCAATAGTAGCACTAAATATGGACATAACTATGTGAGGTAGATCTATCCAGGCTTTAGGAAGTTGATCGTGCCTTGTGACTTCATGCTGTTTGATTTAACCCCTAATATTAAACCGGCATGAAAACTGAGTATTTACCTGGTGCAAACATTGACCGACTAGTAGTCCCTAAGTACTAGCTTCACAGCAGCTATTAACTATTTGACCCAGGAATGATGCAATGCCCATATTCCACTCCTGGTGTTTTCTTGCTTACTATTTGGCCCCTTTTGTTGCAGATCTTGTTTTGAAGGATAAGATATTCGTGTATGACTTGGGAAACATGCGCATGGGCTGGGCGGACTATGACTGTAAGCTCAAACCCCTCCTCACCAGTTTTTCTAATTCGCGCCCAAGCTGATTGGCGTAGCTAACAATGTCTTCCTTTGCTTCTTTCAGGTTCGTTGTCGGTCAATGTCACCTCTTCGTCGGGGAAGAACCAGTACGTGAACACGGGGCAGTTCGACGTGAACGGGTCACCACGACACTACAGCGGCCTGGTGCCTACCGGTGTCGCCGTCGCCCTTGTGCATATGCTCATTTTTGGCGCCCTATTTAGTAGATAGCACACTGGCTGACTGACCTGACACTGTGATCCCACCACACCCATTCTTTACTTAGTGAACGGGGTCGATGCCGTTGTCGCTGCGCCCCTTCACTGTGATCCCACCACACACTGTGATCCCACCACACCCATGGCACAAGCATTCTTGCTGTACATAAATTACAGGGAGAAAGATAAGAAGAAAAAAGTAAAAAAATGGTTTATCGTTCATGGTAGTGGCCTGCTCAGAGCGTGTTTCGACCTGATCACTTGAGAGGCGTTGTTCTATTTATTCATGTACCTGAATCGTGCTGCCGCTGCCTCCAAATCTGAAGGAAAACAGAGGAGGATATTATGGCCGCCATGGCGGACGACACATTGATCTAGGATATCATTGGTTTCATGAAGGGGGTGTGTTTTCCCCCGCAAAAAAAAAGGGGATGTGTTTGGTAGGCTGCATTTCCCCAGCGAGTCCCTAGGGAGCCAAGTTCTTGGACCGCACGGCTCTGGCAACAGATAGGGTCCGCAATTGTTGTGTTCTACTTACCTCCTTAGTCTCCTTCATCTAATCCCTTTTAATCTATATAATGATGTCTTGATTTAAGATAAGCTCTATACAAAAAAGATGCACATCAAACGATCGGTTCCTAGTTTAATTGATTGTAAATCCTCAGTTTTGTGTTCATGTTTGGAGCTTTTTAAGATGAATTTCAGCAAATTCTTTGCACATGCTCGACCGTTTGAAAATTTCTTTGACCACTAGCTTCATCTTGTTGTTTCACACGATTTTTATGTTATAAGTTTTCTGGTTCTACGCTCACACCTTCCTATAGTATTGTGTTAACACGTTCATGTGTGTCTGTTATATGAACGTGCTCAACATCTCTCGCCTATCCTCTTGACCGATTCCAAAAAAAAAAACTATCCTCTTATCATCTCATCTCACACGGTGGATCATCTGATTTTTTTTTTACCACTAGCTTCATCTCTTTGTTCCACACAACTCTCATGTTGTAAGCTTTCTATTTCGACACTTGATGTCTACTACGCAACTTTATTTTTGTAGACTTTGTTGACCTCCAAGCATGGAATTTTACAGGACAATAACATTTTTTTCTTAAGTGGATGTCTAATGTTTGTCAATCCGTGGAAGGTGTAGGACGAAGATGGTTCTCTCTCAAACAACCCTCCAATTAAATACATGTAGTCTCTTGTGTTCCTAACACACCCAATACAATTATCAGTTATATAGGTGCACTAATTCCACGAAGAGGTGATGATAGGTGTGTAATATAGATGGTAGAAATAGTCTTTTGTAATCTAAACAAATAAAAACATCAAGGTAGCATGTAACAAAAGCACGCAAAACGGTGTCACAATGCTTGGAAACAAGGCCTAGGGTGCATTACTTTCACTAGTGCAATCTCTCAACATCATTAACATAATTGAACTGCACGAAAATCCCTCAAAGTGCATATCAGAGAAAGTAGGTTGAAATTGTGTGGGTAGCAAAACCACCTCAAAGTTGTCTTTCCAATCAATCTTATGAACCACCCCCAAAGTGTGACAAATAGTCCTAGAGATTGTATTATGACGACACCACATGATACATATCGTTCAACCTTTATGTTACCTAGAGTACCCCAATATCACCATGGGTACCCGCAAGTTAATACTAGACATGCATCAAGTAATCTCAAATGCAAAGCATTCAATCCAACATAAAGGAACTTCAAAGGGCAAGACTTAATTCACCACAAAAAGAGATAAAGGGAGATAATATCATAAGATCCAACTATATTAATCAAGCTCATGATACATAAGATCGGAATACATAAAAAAACATAAGAGAGAGAGAGAGAGAGACCGAACACATGGCTATTGGTACATACACTCAACCCCAAGGATGAACTACTCACGCATCACTATGGAGGCAACAAGGTTGATGAAGAGGCCTCCCGTGGTGGCTTCCCCCTCTAGCTATGCAGCGGAAAAGGACTCTAGATAAGATCGCTTCGGAACAGAGGTTTGCGACAATGAAAAAATTGTTCTGAGTCTTGCTCTGAGGATTTCTGAATATTTGTGAATTTACAGGCCAAGAATTAGGGCAAACAAAGGCTCGAGGGGCCAACAAGCACCCAACGCGCCCTACCCCCAGGGCGCGCCTCCTCGCTTTGCGGGGGGGGGGGGGGTGCTGTGGGTCTTTTGGCTTCTCCCCGAAGCTTTTAGAGTCTCTTATGTTCTCAAAAAAAACATCAAAAAGTTTCATCATGTTTGGACTTCGGGAGGTATATATTTTCTGAAAAACGCAGAAAACGAGAACTGGCATTGGGCACTAAATTAATAGGTTAGTCTATAAAATAATATAGAAGTGCATTAAAGTCATATATAATTGATGTAAATATAGCATGAATATTTTATAAATTATAAATACGTTGGAGATGTATCAACGCTCATGGACAAAGTTCTTCAAGTGTTGTGGTGTGAGCGTGGTGTGAGATAAGTTAACCACGTGGACATAGTCTTCACTTAGACCCCTACCACTGAAGTTGCCTTTCATCACTTGAAAGAAGCACTTGATGCAACTCTAGTGTTAATCCTTCCAGACTTTCAGAAACATTTTATTGTACAGACAGATGCTAGCAATGAAGGCATTGGAGTTGTGCTCATGCAGGACGACCATCCTCTCTCTTACATGAGCAAAGCTATAGGACCTAAGTCTCAGGCCCTCTCTACACATGAAAAGGAGTGTTTGGTTGTGTTACTTGCTGTAGAAAAATGGAAATCATAGCTACAACGAGCTCCTTTCACCATTTCCACCGATCACAAAAACTTGACACGTCTGCAAGACAAGAAGTTGAGTAGCTCTATGCAACATAAAACATTTCTTAATCTGTTGGGTCTCCAATATAACACTGTCTATAGAAAAGGTTTGGCTAAGGCTGTAGTTGATGCTTTGTCAAGGTCCCCTGCACCTATGGAATTAGCTGATATTTCCTTTTGCACACACAAATGGCTATCAGTGGTGTCCGAAGCTTACCAGTTGTTCCTTGTAGATAAAGATTTGTTGCAGGAACTGACACTGACAAGACCAAATGACGAAGGGTACTCTCTCCATCAAGGGGCCATCAGATATAAAGATAAAATTTGGCTTCATAACACTAAAGCACATCAGGCCATTATGTTGTCTTTACATGCCAGTGGTATTGGAGCGCATTCAAGTTTTCAAGCCACTTACCAAAGAATTAAAGGTCTTTTTGCATGGCATGCAATGAACACATGACAACATGCATATGTGCAAAACTGTATTGTATGCAAACATGCTAATAAACACATAAAAAGGCCAGGGCTACTTAGTCCAGTTATAGTGCCAAGGAGGCATGGAATTTGGTTAGCATGGACTTCATTAGAGGGTTGCCCAAGAGTAATAACTTCGACACCAGACTAGTTGTTTTTGATAAGTTCAGTGCATATGGTCATTTTATACCACTTCCCATCTTGTTGCCACTCTCCAAGTGGCTTAGTTATATATGGATAACATCTACAAACTGCATGGATTTCAATTGGTTCTGGTGACATACATAGATTCTATTTTCACCAGTACATTGTGACAAGAGTTATGCAAAAATGAATTCGAGCTTAGCAGATCATCCACAAATAGATGGCCAGACTCAAGAACTAAACCAATGCCCGGAAACATTTCTATCGTGTTTTGTTCATTCCACCCCCAATAAACGGGCTTATTGGCTATTCTAGGCCGAGTAATGGTACAATACAAGATACCATTCAACTTTAGGCACAACACCATTCAAGGTTCTGTATGGTTATCAGCCCCGCCACTTGGGCATTGCTAGCCTACAATGTTCTTTGTCCTTTGACTTATCTGGTTGGTTAGCAAAATGAAATCTGATGCGGAGACTGATTCCGGAACACCTGCTGCGAGCTCAGCAGCGTATGAAATATCAGGAAGATAACCATCGTTCAGACATGTAATTTTTGGTGGGAGATTAGGTGTTGGGGATATGGTTATTGGATATGACCCTCCCAGGAGGGGGCGGGTTATCCCAATGGCGGTTCATAAACCAAGCCCATGAATATGTCGAAGATGGCGGTTCATGTAGCAGGCTTGTTAAAGGGCCCAAAGCCCAAAGGCGGCTTAAGGCCCGTAAGTGTAAACCGCCATGTATATGTGGCTTGTATTGTAAGGCATGTAAGATAAGTCATCGGGCCGGACATGTTTGTATGAGCCGGCCGGGACTCTGTAAGCCGCGGGGCGTCAACCCTGTATATAAGGGGACGACCCGGCGGTGGCTTAGGGCAAGAAACAACAGATCGAAAGCCAGGCCAAGCGTATTCGCTCCCTGGTAATTGAAACCCTAGCAATACCACCTCAAACTGGATTAGGCTTTTACCTTCACCGTAAGGGGCCAAACCAGTATAAACTCCTCGTGTCCTTTGTCCCGTTTTAACCCCTTTAACCTAACTACATTGCAATGGCTCCACAACTAAGTCCTTCCACTAGGACATCTGCTGTGATAATTCCACGACAGTTGGCGCCCACCGTGGGGCCTGCACATGGCGGTTTTGAGTTCTTGAAGGGCAGCTTTGAAGGGATCAAGGGATACGCCGTGGGCCGGATGACCAAGAGTCATCGCGGCAAGCTCTACATCAACGACGCAGGCTGGGACCCTGAGGCCGGCTCGATTGAGTACGGGTACCGCATCCCCTTCGGTGGAATCCACGTCTTCATCGGCAAGATCGGCGAACCAGGCCCTGAGCCGGACATCTGCACCGACATCATCGAGACGGCTCAGCGTGCATGACCCGCCCAGGTTCAACCCGCCGTGAAGCGTGCCTTTGTTGGATTTATCCAAGGGGTTGAATTGGAGGCCTCTGTGTCTGGCGGTGAGGCGGCCATCTACTCTGATGGTGAATCGTCCACGGGCTAGACCGACTCAATGTATCAACTAGAAGATGGACGGCTTGGGGGCTGTTCCAATGGTGACAGTATTCTAGACCCAC